GAAGGAAGGAAGGAAGGAAGGAAGGAAGGAAGGAAGGAAGGAAGGAAGGAAGGAAGGTGGTTTATTTTATTCTACCAAACAGAAACATTCTAACACAATAACTTAATATTTGGGTTCCTCTAAAATCATTTGCTAAATTTCTTTTAGTTAAACAAAGGGAGAACATAGTACTTAAAATTTGAAAAGCTAACATTACTTGAAAAGCAACTGTTCACACAAAATGTCTGATCTGCCATCTTCAGCTTGGCACCTTACTGGCATGAGGTGAATGAACAAATGACCAATAAACCTGTCAGTATATGATGGGAAATAGAGAGGGGGGAAATGACAGCTTGACAAAGAACAGAGAAGCTCAGAACCAATTTGTGCCAGTACTCAAGATCATGTGCCATGAAAAGGAGTGTGGGTTACCCCAAACATTTCAAAGTTCTCAAAATCTCTAGGCGAATATTCATTTGCTGATGATAAACTGACCATAACTGGAAAGCTGGGATGAGGGAAAACTTTAGCTTGGGAAATTTAGTTCTAGTCATGTTTTCGTAAAAGAACCTATCACTTTAACCACTTTAACCATTACTATTGCTATTAATCTTCTAATCGTTTCTATCACCCATCTCCTCCCACTTATGACTGTATGGCTGTAACTTTGTTGCTGGTATCCTTATGATTTACGTATATTGATTGTTTCTTATTATGATTCGATTGCTTATTTGTATCCCATAACTATCATTAAGTGTTGTACCTTATGATTTGTGACAAATGTATCTTTTCTATTATGTACACTGAGAGTATCTGCACCAAAGACAAATTCCTTGTGTGTCCAAACACACTTGGCCAATAAAGAATTCTCATTCTCTCTTTCTCTCCCTCTCTCTCTCTCCCTCTCTCCCCCTCCCTCCCTCCCCTTCTCTCTCTGTCTCTCTCTTTCCAAATGGAATGAGAGTCTTTCTTTCCTAAGGTATCGCACTGGGGCAGGTCTAACACAAAAGGAGATAGGAAGGAACTATGATGAAAAAGGACATGCTCATCTCTTTCACTCAGTTATTTAAATTATTTCTATTTTTATAACAGAGATTATGATGCAGGTTAGCATGTACTCACGACAAAACAAACAATTATGTATATTGCAACTTAATAAAAAAATTAAATATACCGGATCTAAGACTGGAGTAATAAGTAGTCCAGGTCCCCACAAGAATTGTCTGTCTATAGTCCAGGTGGCTTCATCAGAGTAGAATCTAAAGAAATATTACAGCTTTAAAGTTTATTTATTTTATTTATTTATTTTTATATTTATTTATTTGTCAATCATTTACAAGATAATAGGTATAAGAATAAACATGAGTAGAGTATGAATGAAATGGGTACAAATAAATGGGGACAGTAGGACAGGAACAATAGGCACGATAGTGCACTTATGCATGCCCCTTACAGACCTCTTAGGAATGGGGTGAGGTCAATAGTAGACAGTTTAANGGCACCCCATATGTTAGGGGCCTCATGGTCGATCTCTGTCCCCCGACCAACACCGATTGCGACCTGTCCGAGAGGTAGGAGGAGAACCACTGTAGAACAGTGCCTCCCACCCCCACCTCCCGCAGTCGTCGCAGAAGGATACCATGGTCGATGGTATCGAATTAACCTAGAAATGATTTGATTTCCCATCAAGGTAATAGCAATAGTGGGGGGGGGGATATTAATTTAAGAAAACTCCCCTGGTATCATAGCACTGGTAACTAAATCATCCTTGTTAAATATGTGCAATTTTATATGTAGTCCATAGCACTTAATGCTATTGTCCATCCACAACATTCTCCACAATATCCTTTAATTCACCAATTAAATATTTCCTCTGTAATATCACATTTCTACTTACAGGACCGTGCCTGTGCTTTTGCGCCGAACTTGAATTCCGAATGGGTGGTTCTGAATTGACACCTCATAGAGACGGTTTTCCAAAGTACTTATAGGTGTTTGGGGAAGATTCAGAGGCACTGGAACTTCAAATCTCTTTTTACTATAATCATAAATCTGAAAATAAAAGTATAAGGTTTAAAACCTGGCCATAAAACATATATCAGAGAACTGCATGTTCATTTTATAACATTCTCCCACTTAATGATGATAAAAGTTTCTTAACACATCAAAAAGTTTTACTTATGATCTTCCAACAAAGAAAAGAGATTCTGATCAATATAGAGAGGCGAGTGGGTTTCCTTCAGAAAATGCGGTCAATAAGCTCCAGTTAAAATGGTAAATAATCAAGTATTAAGAGATTTATATTTCTATTTATTTTCAACTTCTCCTGAATTAGAGTCATAAAGCAACTGTGGTGTGGTCAGAGTGGGGCTATGCAAAGTATGTGTATGTGTGTGTGTGTTTCAATGATCAAAATAAATTGTATATCAATGCATTTCTGATAGAACAGAACTTGCAAAAAAGGTCTATATTGGAAAATTGAAAAGAAAATGGATATTGATATTTCTTCACCGGTAAATAAAAATAAAATCACTCCTGCAAAAAATAGGCTAGAATGAACTTTAAAATAGTCTGGAATGAAGTTAAAATGTTATGAAACAGAGAACACAATGATTAGATGAAGATGCTAATAAGAATTAAAAATGTGTATCCACCATGATACAATATATCAATTGTGCTATTTTTTGATATTTTATGTTTCATATTTGAAACCAGGTAGTTGGGCAAACTTTGAACCAGATCAAACTGTTTATTAATAATGACAAAACCATCCATCTGTTTCCAAAGTGACCCATTATAAAACTTTAGGAAGAGATTTACCTTAAACTGAAGCATGTTATTGTCGTGATATTTTACTTCCAAACGAAGTTTGTCAATGAGGGGGATTTGCTGTCCTGAAAGTCTAACAGAGTTGATGTTTGTACCAAGATTGGCTGTTAAACCAGATGATGTATATTCAATTTGGTCAACTGTGTAACCATTGTCAGGAGGATAGTAGCAGTATGGAGCGCCAGCAACAGAAGCCTTCTATTTTATTAAAAATCAAAAAGAATATGTCAATGAGTAGAATAGAATTGGAAAGAGATTAAATCCATAATTTCTGAATTTATTATAGTCAATATTTACAATTAGTTTGCAAGACTTTTCTAAATCAGGTTCCCACAGCTACTACTGAATGTCTTCATAGAATTGTATAACAAGGGGATGGGATTGTTCCATATGACTAGACATACTGTTGTCTCATCCAGTTCCATAATATATATTCATTGATTTTATTTCCACACCATTTTTCTTTATAAAGGATCTTAGAATAGCTTATTAGAGAAGAAGGTACAGGGGCATCATATTGTAACAATGAATACCAAAATATGAAATAAATTTTATTGAAAAAAAAACGAGAATTAAAACAATCAAAAAATCATTTATTTAAAGTCCCAGACCATAAAGAAAAACAAAATAAATAACAGTGTAGGAACTAGTCTGAACTTGAACTTTGATTACAAATTCAAAGTAAACTGTAGCATTGTCAGCACTAACATTGGATAGTTGGATAAAAGTTTTAGATCACAATTAAGATTTCTATCTTTAGAAGCATTCTTTGTCATTGAAATGGCAAACTTTCCATTGCCTATCCCACTGATGAATTGAATCAAGAAGCATTAAATATCATAATTACTATGCAACATAAAATAATATTAAAGATAGAATCATAGATTAATGTTAAAAGTCTTGTTTGATCAAATTAAAATGATTCTGCAGTTGCTATACAGACAGCTGAAAGAATACTTCTTGGAATTACTTTGGGAAACAAGCATAGCATAGTTATTTAGAAAGAGTCAAATCCAATATAATGATGGACTTTTAAAAAACTATTGATTCAAGTAACTGAGAGTTAAATGGGGGAATAAGCTGATTGGCATCTCTTGGCAGGAGGAAAGCCCTCTGAGGGGACCCAAAAGTATGCAAAATCATTTTATGCAGTGTCTTTTTCTCCCTACAGCTTACAATATCTTGCTTCTTATGGGACAGCTTCAGAAATGCAGGGAGTTTCATGAATAATAAACAAATATTGTCCAATTCCATGCATTTTTTGTGGAATTAAAGAGAAATGTGCTGGGCAGGAATACCAGGTAGCTACCTTTCTGTCTATTTAGCTCTGCAGGAATGCTCAGCTTTAATTGGTTTGTACTCAAAATCAATAAAAATGCTTAACTGTAGTAGTCATGATGCCAATAAGTTGAATATATATACAACAGCACAACTTTTGCTGTTGATAATGATAGTCAAGGAAAGCAACATTGTGCCATTAGATATAGAAACTTGAGTTGAATTGAAAAAGAAAACATAGATCATAGCTGGGAAGAAAGACAGGTGGGATACAAGAGTTGCAATCTATCCATAAATAATTCTGTTTATAAAAGAGAATATTTGTAGCTCAGTTGATGTATGAGGTCCTTGGTGTTCTCTGAGCTTGGGGAAGTTTCATTACCAAACTAGTTAACAGTATCAGCTCACTGATAATGTTATCTAGTTTGGTAATGAAATGTCTGTCAGAATGTCCATCAAGCTCAGAGAGCACCAAGGACTCCACAATTCCATTCATTTTACATTTTCTTAGGTCACATGGAAACATTCCTAGATTTATTTCAAATTAGTAAGAAACATAAAAATATCTGCATTTTTCCACATTATTTTCTATTTCTAAGTGGGGAGAAAGTGCAAATCCATTGTACTGTGATTTTTACATTTTATTTTCACAATCAAGTACAGTTCTAATTAAGGTTATAGAACTAAATTACAGCATTTAAAAAAAATGCCTTCTTGTGGCATTACACCTTCATTTAATCCAGTTATGCTGTTCAAAAGTAGGCAGTTAGGAAACTTCACAGTCAACTATGAACTCAACAAATTGTACTCAGCAAAATTCTACAGAACATTTAGGAAAAAAAATGACGGAGAGCTGCTTAGTTGATAAGCTATTTTGACTCCAATTTGTGGCTGTAAATAAAGAGGAAAAGAAATGCAAATACACAAAGTCTCTACAAACTGAATTTCAAAGAGCAAAAACACCTAAGAAGGACAAAATGGATATTTTCCCTTACTTCCCATATGCAGCCAAGAGCTTCACATTTTTCTTTTGATGCATTTTCTTCAGGATGACAATCAAATTTGTCAATATCTTTTAAAGTCTGCTTCCAGGATAGTGTATGTTCTTCCCCCAATTTAAGACGAAGACCAGTTATGTGAGCAACCTATGAAATTCATAATAAAAACCAAAAATGGACCACATAAATATCCAATGTAAATCACATATGTAAACCTGTTTTTTTTAAAAAAAATGGGTTTCACCACATTAATAAATAACAGCTTAATGTCTTTTTATTGATCACATAAAATCCAAAAATATATAAAGATATATGAATAAAAGCATATTCTAAAAGTAGCAGATTAAATAGAAACAGTATTCTAGTCTACTATGACTGTGAGGGAAACCTTTACCTTTTTATTTTTAAGTAATGTACAACTGGCTATATTAATCAGCTGGAGAAACCTGACTTGCCAACAAAATATTGAAGGACCAGACTGTAATTCAAAGGGATTTGCAAGACAAAACGTGATACACAGATATTCTGGGGGTCTTTTTAAGGTATTCAGGACAAGTCGGAAGGCAGAATTATTTTAGGAAAATGCTGAGACCAGCAGTACTGGGAAAATATTAACTTATGCCACATAATCAAATTAGAAGTGGCTGTATGAATATTGATTTCAAATCCCTACTAGTCACCTGGTTATGAATATTAAAATTGACTATATTAGTCTCAGAATTTTATTCTTAGTTCAATATGCATAGTAAAGAGAAATATTGAATGCATATTGAACTCCATGTCTCTTTTTGTGTCACTCTCTAAAGGATATATCAAAGTTCAAAGTAACAACAAAAACAAAAAATGGTTATGAATATTATTAAGAATCAAATTCTTAAAATAAGGTGTAAATCTTTTTTGTGTGTGTATGCCAGTCAAATTTATCCTATATGGTTTGGCTCATGGCTCAGCAGTTAAGATGCTTGACTTGTCAACTGAGAGTTTGAGACTCAAGCATCATGTGAAGGAGTGGGCTCTCGTTCTCACCTCAGCTCCTGCTCACCTAGTAGTTTGAAAGCATACAAATGCAAGTAGATAAATAAGTACCACTTCAGTGGAAATAGCATTCCATGTGTCTAAGCATATGATTATGTTGACTACATAGAAGCATCTTTGGACAATGATGGTTCCCACAGTTAGGAAATGGAGATGAGCACTGCCCCTTAAGGTCAGACATGATTGGACAGGAGAAAACTTTTATCTAAATTCTTACGATCACCTTTTTCAAGTACAATCAATGCATGGCCAGCTCAACATCACTCATGTCAGTGGCACCTATGGTGGCCAAGTACTAAGGTAGCATTTTCCTCAGACCCTCCTTCACTCTCATTATAATCTCCTTCCTTCCTTCCTTCCTTCCTTCCTTCCTTCCTTCCTTCCTTCCTTCCTTCCTTCCTTCCTTCTCTCCTGTTTCCTTCCCTATTATTTCTCCTTTCTTCTTCTTTCCCCTCTTTCCTTATTTTTCTTTGTCTTTCCTCCTTCCCTTTCTCCTTTCCTGTACCTTCTTGCATGCTCAAATGCAAAAGAGGAAACATTTTCCCCTTTGTTTTGTTTTTAGTTTGTTTTGTTAGCTCTCTGCCAGCAAAAATAGAGCTCAGGATCTGGTCCCTGGGCTTGGAGCTTGACACCCTAATTTAGCACCTTCAAAAACTGTTCCTATTTGGCTGTGTTTGCATATATGGGCACAACTAATACTACAACTGCCATTGGATATTATCTGATATGCATGTATGTGTGGGTAGCTTAAAAAAAAAGACACTCACCTAAGTGTCTCTCACTGAAATATCTAAAAGAATGTATTATGAAACATTGTTTTTGACTACATTATAAATCTGGTAAATATACCTTTAGCACTTATTTTTGAGTAGCAAATGATATTATCTGTAGGAGTTTGTAAGTTTGTAAGTTTAATTTTATTTATAGGCTGCCCAATCCCAAAGGACTTCGGGTGGCTTACAGAAGGGAAGAGAAAGAAAATAAAAGAAAGTAAAAATAAAATAAGACAAGTTAAAACGACACAGATACATTCATTTCACTTGGGGCTGGACCTCGACAATGAGGTCAACAGCCCCAGGCCTGCTGGAAAAGCCAGGTCTTGGAGAAAAAAAACTTCATTAAAATTTATGAAAACACTCAGCAATGTATACCTTGTCTGCAGCATTATACTTGACAGTCAAATTATATGATTGAACCACATTGTTAGAGGTTACTTTCACATCTGAAGGCTCAAGGGGTAGCCCAAGAATCTTGATGTTCTCAAATATCAGATTATTTGGCTCTATGTAGCGTTTATGTATAACTGCCATAGTTAAGACTTTCTGTAAGACAGTAAAATCATTACACAACACTTTAGTTCACTGATCTTAGTTATAATTTTCTATGATTTTGTATGATTTCTCTTAAAGCTAAAATCATGTAATTAAGATACAAACAACAATTTGTTGTAAGTACAGTACAATAAACATCCTTTGGAAAATAAAATGTGTTAACATCATGAAATCTAATTGTTATAATGAAATGAGTTTTGTCTAGCATTTAAATTCAGTAAGTTTCCCCAATACTAAACATGTTGATCGTATTTATTACAAATAAGGGAACAGTTTAAGTTAGATTCACAGATGCAGAAAAACAGTAAGGATTTATGAGGAAAATAAATTAGAACTGGAGATAAAATAAAATAAAATCCAATATTAGTTTTTACAACATTAGTCACTAGTCACTCTATAGATTTTCAGTCTTTCAAACTATATTTTGGTACACCAAAAATGCACTCACTTTCCACATATTGAATTAAATTAACCCATTCATTCTTTACACTTCTTGCTCTCTCACACATTTCTTAAGTATCCTTCATTCTGCTATTCCATATAAATCATAGGCAGGAATATACTTATATCAAAAAATGTTCTTCTTTAAATGTTCTTTATATATTCATTCTTCATAACAGGTTGCATACTATCAGTGGTGGGTTGCAGGTGGTATGCCCCGGGACGCACGTACCAGAGCTACCGGATACCATTCCGGTACAGGGTTCCGGCGGGCCCGCCCACCTGCCTGACCTCCTTACAGGAGTTTAATGGCTTTTGCGCTTCTGCGCAGGCACATGGCACGTACAGCGCCTGCGCAATGCTCTGCAGAGCAGCTGGAGCATTGCGGAGCATCACTGAAGCACTTTAATGCATGTGGCACTGCGTGCATGTGTGCGCATGTTGCACGCGTCCATGAGGATGCTGCTGGCCCTGTTCCAACCGTACCAGTTGGAACAGGATTTGCAACCCACTACTGCATACTATCCACTATTTTTCTTTAAGAATTTATATATTTTAAACATATTTAGCCAATTAAAATATTTTCATTCAATTTGAATTTCCATCACTAATTAAGACATACTTACATTTGTGACAGTAAAGTTATATAAGAGATAGTTTTCATTTCTGACTGTATCTAAAACATAAGGAGAAATGTTTTAAATAACAAAGAAAAATATTAAAGCAAATTAATCAAATTAAATATTTTGAAGAGTTATGTAATGTACATGTGATGAATATATATTATTAAAATTTTGAATGATATTTGACAGATCTGCTGATAACTGGTCTTGATGTCCATCTAAACATCTATCTATAAATATTCAAACAGATGGAACAATAAGACGTAATATCAATAGAACAATTGAAGGAACTATGGAAATAAATAAATAAAATATACCCCAGGCTACAGTGCAATCTAAGGAAAAGTGATATAAAACGTTCTGTAGATGGTATAGAACTGTCAGCAATGGACAAATCTTACAGAAATAAATGTTAGAAATACTATAACAAAGAAAGAATATTTTATACTCCACCAACTTTGATGACATGTTGCTGAAATTCAGCGGGGTGATTCTAGATGCAGATGTGTCAAACTGCAGCTTGTGGGCTGGATGCCTCATGTGCAGCGTTTGCCCACTCAGCTCCGTGAATGGGAAAAATATCGTGAAATGTCACATGACAGCAATGTGACACTGGGAGATTTACTAGTGTTCTAGGGTGTCAGAAAGCCAGAGGCTACAAAAGATCAGCTGTCATAACATACATCATCTATGCACTACCTAGCATCGTTCCTAATTGAAGACTTTGGTGTTTGGGAAAATGTGAATTTCAATCTAACTAAACTACAAATTCTGGGGTCACGAGACCAAATTATCTGAATGCCCCCATTCCAAAAAGAATTGCTATTATGGACACTGAGATCCCATCACATTCAAGATAATTTTATTTAATTTAATTAAAATAAATCACAGAAAAAAAATTCCCCTTCCTCCCAAATGATCTAATTATCAATAAAGTCTGTTCATGGTGAAAGAATAGATTTTAAAAATGATTAGCCAGTAAGAAATGACATGCCTGGGTTGGTATTTGTCAAATAAACTACTATAGTGTCTTTTTTTCTATTCTGAAGACGTTATCCGTTGATTATTTTTTTTGAAATGGAAGACATTTTTTTCCATAATAACCTTTTGTAAAACTATGTGACCCAAACTGCTTTATTATACAGAGTAGACAATATATGCCTATTAAAATTCTAGACATAACTTTAATTGCTGAATATTATCTATTAAGTTTGCTAGCAAATTCTAAAGGGCAGCTACTTTTGATTTTAAATTCATTGCAACTACATTTTATTTACTAAAAAGATAACATTTTATATTACTTTATTTTAAATTAATGCAATGAACATCTGCTTATTTTGGAACTTGAAAAAGAAGCCAATATCTTTGAGATACCGTATCATCAGTCTACCTTAAAGGCATTCAGTATTCATGGCAGTAATTATCACCCAAATTGTTCATTCTCTCTCTCTCTCTCTCTCTCTCTCTCTCTCTCTCTCTCTCTCTCTNAATACTATTTGATGTTGAGAAATGGGGGGGGGGGGAAATTGCAGCTCTTCCATTTTATATATTTTTGAGCTATCGACCTCACTTCTATACATCACTGATTCATCAGTGAATTTTAAAATTGCATAGCATTCAAACCTTGAAACAATTCTCTTTTAATTTCTGATTTTAGATAGCTCTCCTAGAGAACTGACATGTTCTTGTAAGGTAATTAATGACAAGAGACGCAAAATGCAAAAAATGAAAGAAGCCAGAATACTGATAGCTGTAGATGAAAACCACTGGACAGCTAGATGCAGAAATATTAATATAATTAATATAGTTTATAGAACTATAATGGCCCTCATCTCCTATAGACCATGATAAAGATCTACAACACTAAGCACTTGCACTTGTATATTAATGTTTTGGAAAGTCATAGATTTGGCCTTAGGCCAAGTTTAAGTCCTGTTCAATTTAGGTATTGAAAATAAATCAGCCCCAATGTAGCCTCCAATTCAATAGATCCAGTGAAAGACAATCCACAACTCTCTGTGGAACTGATGTAATTGTCAAACTCTTCTGACTCTGTAGAAGTTATTTGCAACACATAATTGCAATCAACTTTCCTGTAATGTAAATTCATTATTTCATTCTTTCCGTAATTCTGACACATTGATTCTTTCGCATTTATTTCAGAATGATCTGGAGAAGCTCATTTTATTTTTCTTAGCATTTTCATCTGCTTTGTAACTCATTCTAAACTTTAGTCTTCCAACATTGTGAATGCTCCAACACTGGAAGTTTTTAAGAAGATGTTGGATAACTATTTGTCTGAAGTGGTGTAGGGTTTCCCTTCCAACTCTGTTATTCTGTTCTGTTCTGTCCTGCTCTGCTCTACTCTGCTCTGCTCTATGGTGGGTTGCCAATTTTTTTACTACTGGTTCAAGTCCACTCACGCACGCGCTCACATGCAATGCTTCTGCACATGTACAGAAACATCCAGGCAGGTGGGCGGAGCCTCCTGCCACTGCTACTACCGGTTCACCTAATCTGGGCCAATCCCTGATTCTATTCTATTCTATTCTATTCTATTCTATTCTATTCTANTTTGAAGATGTAACAACAGAGTCAGGTAGTGCATTCCAGGCATTGACCACTCTGTTGCTGAAGTCGTATTTTCTGCAATTGAGTTTGGAGCGGTTTGCATTGAGTTTGTATCTGTTATGTGCTCTTGTATTATTGTGGTTGAAGCTGAAGTCGTCACTGACCGGTAGGAAGTTGTAGCAGATAATTTTGTGTACTATGCTTAAGTCCGACCATAGGCAGCATAGTTCTAGGTTGTCGAAGCCCAAAATTTCAAGCCTAGTGGTGTAGGGTATTCAGTTGCGAGCAGAGGAGTGTAGTACTCTTCTCGTGAAATACTTCTAGACTCGCTCAATTGTATTATGCTTTTCTTATTGGTGAATCTTAAATAACTATTTATGTATTGGGGACACTATTGACAATTTTAAGTATAAGAGTAAAGAGAGGATTTCAGATTTTAAGACAACCCACAAGTTGACATTGCCACATGAAAAAAAAATAGGATTAGAAACTTAGTTATGCTTTGATGAAATCAACGCATCTGGATTCAATATGCAATATATTCTCACACATTGTCTATTAAGGTTTTTTAAATATTCCATGCCTTAATGAAGCTGAGGCATGTTTAGCTTTGTCACTTAGACCGTATTTTGGATTAATGCATAAATATTGATATAAGCAGATTTATATACTGTTCTTCCTTCTCATTGATGGGTGCAAGGTCATAAGCTACTTTAAATGTGAAATTGTATTTGTGTGTATGAATATTCTATTTTATGTATGTAAATGTCCTGGTTTTCATCGCACCATTATCTGACCAATGTTTTGCAACCTATCTGCCTTTCCTTGTTTTGATTAAATCCAGATATCTTGTTTAGGAAGCAAAGGCAAGTAAGGAGACATAAGAATGAAGAAAACATATGTGTCAGAAGCTGCAAAAGCCACAGCACTCTCTACTACCTTAATAATAAAATCAGATTAAATACATTATCAAAATATATGAGAAAAATATCCTTCATCCTTCTGAGAAGAAGGTAAAAGCTCTTTTGGACTGGAAGAAAATTTGTGAGTGATTGCAAAGTCAGATTTTTAACACAGCTTTAGTGTCTACAAAAATATCCCTAGAATGTTAGGAAATGCTTGTGATGTTTTGAACAAGTTCCAGATAACTTCAAGCATCTCTAGGCATAGAGATGGTTTTTATTTTTCAGCAGTTTAGCTTTCTGGAAACTAAGAGCACTTCTCCTGGAATGTATTAACTGCAAACCCCATAATGATTAATTATAATAATTGTCTATTTATTCCTTATGAGAATAAGTCTTATACATTGCTATAATCTTCCCACTGAAATAGAATCTAGAACTTTAGCTATGCCCTTCTGAATTCAAAACTTTGGTTGCTTGCTTGCTTGCTTGTTTGTTTGCTTTATATTATATTATGAGGCTAGCTAGTCGAAGAACCTGTTGTTTCCAACCCCACAATTGCATTGTGGAGCCAACATCGCGACAAGATGGACGTGTAGTCTCCATGCTCTGAGACCGTAGGCAATATTTTTGCTGCTGGGTGGTCCAAATAGACTTAAACTGTCCCAAAGAGACGGTGAACAGGAAGAATACATCTTACTGATCTCAGGGATATCACAAAATCCCTGAAAGAAGCAAGAGAAGTTCTTCAAGTCAGCGACAAAAATCCAGCCAAGGCTGATAAAGTCAGGGCGGCTCCAAAATGGAAAGATACGGAACGAGAAAATGTTTCCAGCTGGTGAGGAACTTTTACTTTTTAAAAAAGAGACTGCCTATAAAAACTTAAAATTAATNGTGGGTGGTGGGCAGGCAGTCAGGCACGAAAAAATGGCCTTTCAAAATTATTAATCAAATTTTGGGCAGAAAAATTGGATGAGGTATTTCTGCATTTTCCCCCAAAGGGAAAAAAATATCTTCAATAGGTCAGGCCTCTGAACAATAGGACAGTAATAATAACAGGTAGGGAAGAGAAAACATATTGCAGAAATTACCTTGTGTCTTATGATATTATTCCTTAGGAAGCAATTGAAGTGTGAAAAATAATGTAGCCACAAAACTACTGTAGATGTGGTTGTATAATGTAAGACAAGATATTCACATACTCTCCTTGACTCCCTTTTCACAAATAAATGCAAGAACACTACTCTCCCAAGTTCTCATCTTCTTGGAATGAAATTTCAAAGGAACAAATTCTCTTTTCATCACCTTGAAATGAGAACTAATAAAAAAACCATGCAGTTAATTTCTCTCCATGCCAATGAATTTCCTCTGGACAAAACTTTAAATGTTTTAGACTTGGAAAAGTAATGTTTAATCCATTTATAACATTGGCTCATGCATTGTGTATATTTTGTCTTCCTCCAAACAACACTAATTGCTGTTATGTGCCTATCATATCATATCAGGTATTTGGAAACAATACACTGAATCTATGCCAGAAAAAGGAGATTTCCATATCATGCTAGAACTGTGTTTTTAATATTTTGCCCAAGAACTGGAAAGTCTGCCCTAATTCCTAGATGACTGAAGAAACCTTTCAACCTTCAAGAATAGTGGACTGAAAAAAATCCTGATGTTCCTATCATATATTTTGGACCATCAGTACTTGGACTGCCTATCCACTACATAAAACGTAAGTAATTAATATTCTCTCTATCTGATATATTTTGCGTTATTGTGATTAATAGCCAAAAGAAAGAAAATGGCTAAATTGTGATGTATTGCATTTGTTTATGGTGAGGTTAAAAATTAACTTTCTTTTCCTTCTTATGTAGTCTATTCATCCACCATTAGTGCTTTAAACAAATTACTGGTAAATAGATGTCACAGCTGCACCACAGCTGAACACACTAATATCAGAAAATACCTGTAAACTGTTGTATTGGCTGGTTCTTGAATAGGAAATATGTATCCTCCTCTAAGATGAAGTCCAAGTTTGTTTTCCGGAAGGAACATTTGACACTCTTGTTTTCTGCAAGGTGCTTTCAAACCCTATTTTTATAAGGGAATAGAATAAAGGTTTACTATACTCATAAAATTGTTAGTACAAACTAGGATTGATAATCCTACAAACAAAGAAGAATGCATATATTCCTTTTAAAATTGTAATTGGCAGAGGAAAAATGTAATGACTCAATTTTTTTGTATTTTGTATTATAAAAAATGAAAAAAAATGGTTAACATTCAAATCAATTAAAAAAAACCAAGTTAGTATGCAGTAATTTAACTTTTTCATTCATATTGAGTAAATTCAACTGTCACATTTATGGGGGAAGGGGAAACTGGAGGTACTCAACTTGGACTGTGAAGTTTATCTATGAATTTTAGCTTTGTATAGTCGTAATGTGCTTCTTTAAAAAAAAGATTGTATTGCAACATGTGTTTTGCTTTTGTTTTTTGGCAGGATATAAAATGCTCAACAATCCACACATTCCCTACACAACTTCCTTAGAAAGGCTAGACAATGTTTGATGTACTACTTCTTGATCATCAAAGGTAACCCGATTAAAGCAATGCTTCAGTGAAAGTAAAATATTCTCTTTGATCCAAAGTATCTAAGCATTTTGATTTGACCTTTTGTGTATACTTTGCTACTGAGTACCCCTACAAAATTGTATGCATCTCCAGACCTTTGACATATATGCATTTTAAAGTGTATAAAAAATGATTTACAGATTTCTACACAGCAGAGTTAATTTGAAATGTTAATAGTATACATTTAAGGGAGATATTTTGTAATAATTATGCACTTACGGTCTCATATTCATACCACACAGCATCAGGGATGTATGCTGTTACTTTATCTACACCCTGAAATATTAAAAAGAAAATATTTCATTTATTAGCAACATCAAAGGGAAATGCCTTGATATTATTAGATATTTTTTTTCTAGGCTGGAGGTAGATGAGGGTGAAAGTCTTTCTCTTTGATTTTTTCCTGACTTTTCCACTGGAAAAAAGTATTTGTCAGGCATTTTTTCCATATTGTAATGTCAATTGCTATTTCCACCACAAAATGTCCTAAAATGACTGTAGAATTGGAAGGTTTGGAGAATGGAAAGTGATTATCAAACTGTCAATAGTATATGCTGGTACTTTTGTGGCAGAAAGGTGTAGTTTTTGAAGNATAGATAGATAGATAGATAGATAGATAGATAGATAGATAGATAGATAGATAGATAGATAGATAGATAGATAGATAGATAGATAGATAGATACAACACATCAAGGAATAAAAGACTATTGCACCACTAACTTTTAAACCCAATATATGTTTGTTTCTAGACTGGTAGTGCCATTATTATCTATAAGAAATAGTTGATATTACAACTTGTCAGATTTACAATGGATCTCTTTCTCTTTTAAAATTTCTTTTGAATTGCTGACGTCTTAAATATTTATCCAGAGCTTTTAGATGTTTTAGTAAGTCTAGAAAATTTTTGTTTCATGCTGCCATAATTTAGTATAACCATAATGCATAGCTTTAAGTAATTGTATAACTCAAGTAATTTCATGACATTCTCTCTCTCTCTCTCTCTCTCTCTCTCTCTCTCTCTCTCTCTCTCTCTCTCTCTTTGATAGAAAGCTGTGAAAGGAAATGCTCATTGGTGAATAACTTACATATGAGATATTAGCTGCTTTCATGTTATCATACAATTCAGATATTTCTGCATCATTTTTGTATCCATATCGACACAACTGGAATCCCAAACCCCAATATGCAGGCAAAACTGGACGTCCAATGAGCTAATAAAATAAATAAATAAATAAATAGGGATTATACAGTCAATGCTGTGTTGGTGTAATAAGGAATATTATAATCATATTTTGGAGTAGATTTTTTTTTTTTGTAATATGGGTTCTTACTGCAGTATATTCTTGAACGACTTGTTCTGGAGTTGGGCCCAAAACCATATAAAAGTCCAAAATTCCTCCAATGGTACGGTAGGTTAAAGCAGGAGTCGGTTGGAATTTTACCTCTGAAAATTCACAAAGGGGAAATAAATATTGCATAGACCTGAAAATACTGTTATATAAAACCAATCAATAAAAATGAAAATCACTCCTCTGTCATTTCACCTCTGAGTTGAGCAAACTGACGTACAATCTTCTCCCTTGAAATTGCAGGAAATGTGTTGCATTTCCCAGCAAGAGGAACCATGGAACTGTATCAAATTATTTGCTTTAGATAAGCTATTTCACAAATAATAGTAATCTACTATTTAACTTGGAATAACAGGTATGACAGGTATGTGTGTGTGTGTGTTTGTGTGTGTGTGCATGCACGCACACACACACACACAAACATACATAGTTCTATAGATATAGATATAAATGGTAAACTGTTTTAAGCTATTTGCTTACAGATAGATAAACATTTAGCAAAAAAAAAAAAAAAAAGAATTTGATGCTTTCATACTGGCCTCATGAACAATGCAGGGATTACCAAAATCCATGTTGAGTCTCATCTGGCCTATGAATTAATGTTCACTAATAGGATATGCATAAGGGGCACAGTGGCTCAGTCGGTAAGATGCTGAGTTTGTCGATCAGAAAGGTCACCTGTTTGGCGGTTTGAACCTCTAGCACTGTGTAATGGAATGAGCTCTCATTACTTGTCCCAGCTTCTGCCAACCTAGCAGTTTGAAAGCATGTAAAAATGCAAGTAGAAAAATAAGAACCACCTTTGGTGGGAAGGTAATAGCGTTCCATGTGCCTTCAGCATTTAGTCATGCCAGCCACAAGACTATGGAGAACATCTTGGAACAGCACTGGCTCTTCAGCTTTCAAACAGAGATTAGCACTGCCCCCTAGAGTCAGGAACAGCTAGCACATATGTGTGAGGGGAACCTTTACTTTTACCTTTAGTATGATATGCATTAGTTTATATAGAATAGAGCTATAAGGGACCGTGGAGATCTTCTAGTCTAGCCCCCTGCTCTGGCAGGAGACTATATACCATTTCAGATAAGTGGATGTCCAATCTCTTCTTTAAAAACTCCAATGATGAGGTGTCTATGATTTCTGAAAGCAATTTATTTAGTTTAGAATTGACACTTGGAAATGAACGACAACTTACCCATTCCATTACTGTTCAGCAATAGGACTCCATGAGCATTGCCATCCTCTTCCAAGCCCATATAAAAAGGTTGAACTCCATAAGTGTTAAATCTATACTATAGGCATAAAGATAAAAAATGTCATAACCAAATGCATTGTTTGGCATATACATTTTATTGCTAGCATGTGAATATCGATAGAATGCAATAAACTACATTCTCAATACAGCATAACTTTGTGTAGACATCACTGAGTGAAGTGTGCCTCTTCTGAATATTTTAGATTTCTTGACTGCCTTTGATGCCATCATCTCTAAAATCCTCTTGAACTGCCTTCCAACTGGGGATCAGGAACAATATTCTATAATGGTTCCACTCTTATCTTAAAGAGTAGTTCCAGACATTGGTTTTATGGGAACAGTGGTTAACTCAATGAATAGTTTTAAGGATGTCTCATGGGTCTCATGCTGACTCAATTTGCTAAAAAATTTGTAAACTGCTTAGAGACGGCTGAAAGCCCTATGAAGCGGTATATAAGTCAAATAAATAAATAAATAAATAAATAAATAAATAAATAAATAAATAAATAAATAAATAAATGAGTTAATCCTCTCCTATTACTTTTCAACATCCTCATGAAGACATGGAAGAGGTCATCTATTGGTTTAAGGTGATGTTTCTTCACTATGCAAATGATACTGAAGATTACATAGACTGCCAAAACTAATCCTGATGTTTGGAAATAATTAGGATTGGGATTGGATGGGACAGACATATGTTGATGTCTGAAGCATGAACCCAAGGAGTTGCTATTTGGTTATTGTTGTTTCCACTCACTAAAAAGGAACCTGTGAAGAGTTAGATTCATAACTAGGAGGTCATTCTGGATTCAGAGTAATTGCTGAATGGGCTGGTGGAGATATGCCCAAGGAGCTTTTGTCTAGCTTGCACCTACCAGGAGTACAGGGATTTCACAAAATTAGATATCACTTGGCTAACCTGTTACAAAGTCTTCTACTGGCTTATTTTGGAAGCCCACTTGGCCATTGTAATTTGCATGAAATATAGTGGCTTGCTTACTAATTAGCAGTGTTGTTGAGCACTATTACATCAATGTTTAGGCCCTGTATTGCTAGTAGATTTCCAAGTTCATTCCAAGTTCACCAACTTCAAATAATGCTTTGGCCTATAAAGCCCTACTGCAATTTACCTTGGCATTGATAGACATGAAGAACTACCTTTTCCACTTGATCGATATGGCCATATATTCTAGGAAAAACATTTGGTGATTCCTAAAGTAACTGAACCTAGTTGGTTCTCTGTTGTGGTCTGATAATGTGGGAAAATTTACCTAGGAACTGAACTTGCCCTATTATGAACCACTTTCTAGAAATTGATGAAGGTTGAATTTTTCCAGAGTTGTAGTTTGATTATATGATGCTCTATGTTGTTGTCATATAATACTTTGTGCTTACTTTCTTACTCAATTTATTTTATTTGGGATTGTTTATATTCTAAGCAGTATAATTACAACACAAAAATAAAATAAAAAATAAAATAAAATTGTAACACGTAAATAGTTTCATTTATTATTTAGCATTTTTCGTTTAGTATTTTTCAGAGTATAAGATGCAGCCTTTTGCCACCGCCCCCAAAAAAGAGGGTGAAAATCTGGGTGTATCTTATACACTGAATACAGCATTTTTGGCCTCCCGAAACCCCGCCCCCTTTGCAAAAATGGATGTGCAGAAGGTTTGGGAGACTTGCAAAGTGCTCCCAGGGGCTGGGGAGGATTAAAATGAGCAAAAATGGGATATTTTATGCATGTTTGCCCCCACCCCCCAGCCCCCAGGTGCACTTTGCAGGTCTCACAAACTTTCACAAAAAATGAGGCATGCAGAGGGTTTGGGAGACCTGCAGAGTGCAAATACTTTTTAAAAATTTACCTCTTCAAAATCTTGGTGCCTCTTATACACCAGTGTGTCTTATAGTCCAAAAAATATGATACTTACCAGCATGGACATTTTAATTTAATTTAATTGATTATTAATATTGACTACTGTAGACCTTTAATATGTCTTTTGTTATGTTGCTACTGCCTAGAGCCATTATGAAATACGGTGATGTATAAGAATGTTAAATAAATGTATACATTTCATTTTAAAAGAACCGTGAGGCATTAATTTAGTTGCTTTACTCAGTTAAAATCTATAATAAATAAGGGAAGATGAATTCTATCAAGAAAAAACAGACTCACTCCAGGAGGCTGATCCCTTGCAAACATTGGCCAGGTTTTCCAATTCATTTCATGCCGGAATTGTTTATGCTCTGTTTCCCCAAATCCATATACAAACTGTGAAGGTAGGCGAGTTGAAATCTGAATGAACATATCACTGAAGGTGAAGCCAGGTAACTGGGAATCCCAGCTATAAAGGGGGGAAAAGCTTGCAGTCAGAATAATGATGAAATGTTAAACTATAATTAAACATCAAACAAGACTAAGGTATATTAGTAACATATAAATAGAATGCAATATGAAGATGTTGAGTTTTTAATCATTTGCAGGATAAAGTAGAAAAATATACCAGCTATTAGCCCCCAAAAAATGTGTGACTATACTGAAATAGGGATGTTTCTATTTTGCAGTAAAATGTCATTGCTCTTGCAAGGAGACTAAATACTTGTTGACATTTTCTAATATCATCAAAACACAAAGTTCTTTCCTTAGGATATTAAAACAAAAAGAGTATTCAATACTATTTGATGTTGAGAAATGGGGGGGGGGGNTGGAGGATTTTAGAAATAGTAATTGAAAGGCCAGTATGTGGTTATGTATTAAATTTTGGTATATTTTATGATGAAGGACGCTTAAAACAATTATAGTCAAATGAAAATGGAGATATAATGATGGTGACATGTATAAATATTTGAGTTAAAATACTTAAATTAATATGAATTATGTTTGTTGACTGTGGAAAAGATGCACGAACGTCTTTTTGTAACCAACTGTATTTGTTTTAAACTAAAAATTTAAAAAAAGAAAAAAGAAAAAAAGAATTACACTGTGGCTCCTTAAATCCTCAAGTCAGACCTGATCATATTTAACGCTTGATTGTTCTAATTCACAGCAGAACAGAGACGTGCTACTTTCTTGCTTAAAAACTTTTATAAAATTTAAAATCTGTAAAATTATCATCTGGGACAAAACCTTAAAGAATTTAACCTTCTAATAATCTGAAATAATATTGGGATCAACTACCTGGAGTCTACAAAGGCTAATAAATACATTCTAGAACGTCTGTGTCTATTGCGTCTGTCTATGTGTTTGTGTGTGTAAGACATAAATAGGGATAAATAAATATGCAAAGTGTAAAGTTCTTTCCCATCACCCAAAATTTTAAAAGCAGGAACTTACTCATGTAGAACAGGTCTTGCAACTGTCTCTCCCCGAGCATGTGCTTTATAAAACAGGGTATAGAGATATGGCAACAAAGTGTAACGTATTGTCAGGTAGTGTTTTGTTGAATTCACCAAAAGTGAGTTTTGTCCAAAATATGCTGGATCTTTAGGCTACAAATAAACATTTATAAAGTTACTGGGGGGAAAAAGCCTTCAAACAATCAGAAGCTTGATCTAATTTTAAAATTGGTCTTACAGCATGTCCTGCAGCATTGTGATTCCTAGAAAATGGGTAAAATGCTCCAAGTTGCAACCATCGCCTACAAAGTTCTTCTGAGGTATCATCAATGAAGCCACAAATATCTGCCCCAATCTAAAACAAAACCATATTAAACATCATTGACATACTATATGATATATCTGCATAAGATGTGTTGTTATTTACAAATTTTACATTAATCAGATCTCAGATGATCAATATAAATTGATTTATACTGGTCTTCGATAGAGGTTTTAAAAAAATCTAAATTATGTTTGGACGATTGAGTAAAGAGAAATAGGAAAGAATAGCAATGAGATCACCCATTACTCTATATAAATATTGGAATCTGGTTTTTCTAAATATATTACACATACATATATGTGTAATATATTTAGAATACATACATACATAAATATAGTACACATACATAAATATAGTACACATACGTATATGCATATACATTCATACATATGTATGTATACACACACATGGATGTATATGCATGAATGTATATACATATACATCAATTTATTTTACTACCGGTTTGCTCATTTGTGGGCATTCACACACATGCAACACTTCTGCACATGTGCAAAAGCATCCAGGGGATGGGTGGGTGGAGCCTCCCACTGCTGCCACTACTGGTTTGACTGATCCGGGAAGAACCAGCAGAAACCCACCTCTGATATACATTCTATGATTAAGGCCTTTGAAAAAATCAATCAATGTTATAAGAGACAATGTACTTTTTATAAAAGCACAAGTACAAAAAGAAGACAAGCTTCAGGCTATAAGGAATTGCATAGTATAGTAGCCAATGCAATAAATGTCTCTTCCAACAATCAGCCTTGTTTCAGAGTAAAAAAAAAAAGTAAGAATCTACTTTAACTTTCCTTATGAGACAAGGAAATTGTATCACAGTGTTCCTTTCAATAACTTTGCTTCTAAGCCACTTTTAAAACTAGAAAGAAAATAATAACAGCGGCCTTATTAAAAAAAAACTATTGTCCCATCTTATCAGAGATACCTTTAAGTCCATATTTTTGCTTTTAAAAATAATTTTGCTTTCTGAATACATCTTTCAGTCTCACCTTTATTCTTTGAATTATCAAACTCCAAAGCTGTACTGTTTTGGAATTGCACATCATAATGAAGGGAGAATATATGTTTTTCAGGGTCGAATTATGGATCCTTGGTGCTGTCAGAACTTGCTTACAAATGTTTCATTACCCAACTAAGTGACATTATCAGGATGATGCTACATAGTCAAGTAATGAAACATTTGCAAGTAAACAACTCATAGAGGACCAAGAATTCCTCAAATCATACAGCTTATCAAAGCATTGCTCCAATAGAAAAGAGATAGTCAGGCACTCTAAAGTATACAGTTGAAGTTTACTAAATCATATGTTATGCAAATCAAGTCTAAAGAATGAGGTATGCATATATCTCACCTAAAGGGATACATTAATTCAAAACTCTACCTTATTTTTACTATGCCAAAATTTAACAGTTGGACCAAACCTACTATTACAGTTAAAATAGCTTACAAAAGGGTATCCGAATAGATTAAATTCTAATATTCCTGGTATAGACCATTTGATATCATTCCAAGTTGCAAAATTATCTCCCAGCCAATGTCCTGTGAATTTTCCAGAACCAGAAAATGTTGATCGGGAAAGGAGGAAGCTTCTACTTTCACGGAAAATGGTCTTGAGTGCTCTGAAAACAACATAAATGTATAGCATTAAGGAATAGCTTTATTTGGCTGGGATAAAAATTTGGAGAAAATGAAAGGTAGATTTCAACATAGCATACAACAAATCCAACATTTTTTTGCAAAATTAACTTATGCATACATTAAAATATGGGCCACACTTTCAGATCACACCAGAGGTGGTATTCAGCAGGTTCTGACCAGTTCTGGAGAACTAGTAGCAGAAATCTTGAGTAGTTCAGAGAACTGGTAAATATGACCTCTGACTGGCCCCACCCCCATCTATTCTCTGCCTTCCTAGTCCTAGTTGATCAGGAGGAAATGGGGATTTTGCAGTAACCTTCCCCTGCCATGCAAACCAAGCCACACCCACCAAGCCAAGCCACGCCCACAGAACCAGTAGTAAATAATTTTGATTCCCACACCTTATAATTCATGTGTACTAAATAGATGGTCTTTTAATCCACAAGAAGGATTATCTCATTAAGCATGTTTTGCCCAAATTGCAAAAAAAAAAAAAAAAAAAAGTAGGTTTCACACCTGGATGGTTTTAGGCTTCACAAGGGAACAAGATCTACCAGAGGTGCTAGTAGAGAAATCAGTGAAATTGTTGTGTAGTAAATTAATCATTTTTTTCTAATACACATTCTTAGATTTGTATTATTGTGATTAGCTGTTGCAATCAAAACTGAAACAAAAGAAATCTGGCACTAATTAGCTTGGATGAATAAAAAGAAAAAAAGAATGCATCATTCCTTACTTATCAGTAGCTATAGACATAAAATAGCCATAGAGGCTGTGAACATCGTAGTGTTTCCCTGCCTTTTGGACTACATCCATACAAACAGTCTTTGAATACATAACTCCATCCAGAATTTCTGTAAAACAAAGATATTTTTAAAAATCCATTAAATTTTTTAAAAAAACTATTGAACATTTCAATGCATAGCTCTCTGAAAGAATAGACAGACAAATGTCAAAAAATTCTATTTTTAAAAAAGTTACTTTTTTTCTCTTTTCTTTAATCCACTACACTAGTCTAGTTTTTAATAAGGTTAATATTCAACATTGAGTTTGCTAATTAAAATTACTTGATCAAACCTCTAGTTATAATTTATAACTTTATGAATTTGATTTAATTCATATAGTTATAAATTATAGCAGCACTTTTTGCCTTGTTGTAAAGGTAAATGTTCCCCTCACACATATCTGCTAGTCGTTCCCGACTCTAGAGACCGGTGCTCATCTCCATTTCAAAGCCAAAGAACCAGCGCTGTTTGTGGCCAGCATGACTAAATGCTGAAGGCATCCAGAATGCTGTTACCTTCCCACCAAAGGTGGTTCCTATTTTTCTACTTGCATTTTTACGTTCTTTCAAACTGCTAGGTTGGCAGAAGCTGGGACAAGTAACCAGAGCTCACTCCATTATACGGCGCTAGGGATTCGAACTGCCGAAGTGCTGACCTTTCTGATCAACAAGCTCAGCGTCTTGGCCACTGAACCACTGCATCCCTTGCTGTAGTGAAGTTATTTGTTTGGATTTTAAAATCCCCAAATAAAATTCTTCTAGTTAGAGATAGGGTGACAAGTTGTACAGTCATCTGACAATTTAGCAATTAGTTCTTTTTTTTTCTTCCAGATGAATCGCTATATTGTAGCAGATAGGATTTCTTTAACAATTGGTAAAGGAATCTGTTTGTCAAAATGTCTAAGGTTCTATGTAATGATCTTATGTACACAGATATATGAAAAATCTAGCCTAGAAATTAAATAATTTTTATTTCAGTTAATAACTTACTTGGAGTAAAAGGTGGGTAATTTAAATTGTTTGATGCACAACCAGTTTTTGATCCTTTGACAAAATTGGATACTTCATTCATGTCCTATGAGAAAAGATTAATAAAAATTCATGGTTTTGTACCGGTAGTTATGGTCTTCAGACATATCTCTTCAGGACCCATGTTCTATTCAACTTTTTAAAGCAGCCACTCATAGTAACATATTTAACTGCCACAATAATTTTGAGCCCAGTGAAGGAACCCATGGGTTAATAGAGAAGATATAAAATTGACAGGTCCTTAGTGCTATCTGAGCTTGATTTTTATTTTTTATTTTTTGCAGACATTTCATTATCTAAACCAGGGGTGAAATCCAGCAGGTTCTGACAGATTCTGGAGAACCGGTAGCGGAAGTTTTAAATAGTTCGGAAAACCGGTAGCAGAAATTTTGAGTAGTTCAGAGAACTGGCAAATGCCACCTCTGGCTGGGATGGAAATTGAGATTTTCCCCTGCTACACCCACCAAACCATACTCCCCAAGCCATGCCCACATGCGGTAGTAAAAAAAAAAAAGAATTTCACCACTGATCTAAACTAGTTAATTATCATCAATGCACTGATGATGTTACCTAGTTTGGGAAATGAAATGTCTGCAAGAAAACAACCAAGCTCAGAGAGTACTAAGGACCTGCCATTTCAATCCTGAGCTACAAATATTTTCCTCTAAATGTATGACCCACTTTCTAGTAAACGGGTGTTTTGTGACTGACAAAGTCCGTCATGGCAATAGTTTTCATGAGTAGGCAAGTTTACCCTTGAATCTGTAAAGCCAGTTACAGAGAATGTCTGTTTATAAAATTCTGTAGTGGAGTAGCAGAACTGAGTGGTGTTATTCATCTAGTTTTTCAAAATGTTGTCAGTCTCAGCTCTCTAATTCTTTAACAAGAGAGAAATAGCCTTCCTTCTTCAAGAGGAAACTTCTGTTGCTATGAGCAAAAACAACAGACTTTGGCTGATTTTACATGTAACCAATAATCAAATTTTATTAGTGTTTCGGTTGATAAACCGCAAGAAAATTCTAAACCTTCAGGCTTAGACTGGGAAGCTAAGATAGCCTCCTGGAACAAGGCTGTACTGCTATGTTGTTGCTAGAAAAACAAAATGGATGTTTTCATGTAATCCCTTGGAGCTGAACTAGACTTAGTAACTAGACTTTACCAGCAATATTTTACTGTTGCTCAGCCTCATGAATTGCATAATTTCCTCCATTTCTATTCTTTGCTCAGATGTTATAATATCCCATAGGTTCCAATCTGTTTGAATTTCAGCAACAATTGAACATGTCTGAATGTGCTAGGCATGTATTTAGAAAATGAAAACATTATACAATGTTTAGATTCCTTGGGAAGAATCAGAGGTGGTATTCAGCAGGTTCTGACCAGTTCTGGAGAACCGGTAGCGGAAATTTTGAGTAGTTCAAAGAACTGGTACCACCTCTGACTGGCCCTGTCCCCATCTATTCTCTGCCTCCTGAGTCCCAGCTGACCAGGAGGGAATCAATATTTTACAGTATCTTTCCCCTGGAGTGGGGTGGGAATGGAGATTTTACAGTATCCTTCCCCTGCCATGCCCACCAAGCCATGGCCACCAAGCCATGCCATGCCCACCAAGCCATGCCATGCCCACCAAGACACACCCACTGAACCGGTAGTAAAATGTTTTGAATCCCACTACTGGGAAGAATGTATTGTTGCCTATGAAAAAAAATAAAAATATAGAGATGCATTTTTTTTTTGCTTATTGCTAAGTATTTTTGCTACCAAATATTTGTTTCTTTACTATGCTAAATAGTACTTACAATCCAAAGTCCATCAAAATTGATCGTTTTGTGAAAATTGTTGCACTCATAAACCCACCACTGAACAGCTTCAGGACTAGAAAAATCAGGGAAGACAGTTGTTCCTGGCCATACCTGCAGGTAAACAAAAGTATAAAATTGGTCTACCAAAGGTTATAAACATTTCCTTAAAAACGTGACCCGACAATTGCACGATAGACATATGCGCGCCGACAAAATAGCGCTGATTAAAACGCAACGTCAAAATCGCGCCCACAAATTCGTGACGTCAAAATCATGCCAACAAAAGCGTGATGACAAGCACAATAAAATTGTACACTCACTGGGCTGTCTATAGGGTTAGGGTTAGAGTTAGGGTTAGGGTTAGTTTGTTGATGATGCAATTTTGTTGGCGTGCATTTGTCGGCGCGCTATTGTCGAAACTCAATTAGCTATTTTGACGGTGCTCATTTGTCCATCGCGGTTTTGTCAGCGCGCATATGTCTATCGCGCATTTGTTGGTGAACCCCTTAAAAATAGTTTTGCCTGATTCTAAGCAAAATGGAACAAATGGAATATCTGAGTAATCTGTACTAAAACCAAAACTTGCTATTTATGTGTCTGGGAAGACAGTAAAATAGAAAATGGCAAATAAGTATACTGTATGTTAAATACTGAAATTCTGTTTTTATTAAATTGTTTCTTTTTCATGTAACAGTACTACTTCAAGAAATTGTCATCTAGACAACTTAAGGGATGTCATAAATGACATTCAGCTTTGCTGTGTTTTTATATCTAGTATATATGACATAATGCTGAGTTCTGCTCCAGTTATTTTCTCTTAAGTACACATACAAAACACTGACACCTAAATATGTTTCCATAATAGGATATATCTGTCACATGCATATGCATCTGTTTTTTACATAATTTTTATATACATATATGTATAAAAATATATGCATATATGTTTGTGTGTGTGTACCAGAGGTGGTATTCAACCGGTTCATACCAGTTCACCTGAACTGGTAGTAGAAATCGCGGGTGGGCCTGCCCACCCTCCCCGGCTCTGTGACGTCCTATTTAGGCACATTTTCAAGCCAAAGCGCATGCACAGAAGGCCGAGCGCATGCATGGACAGCGCGCGTGCGAGCAAAGCATGCTCACATTTGAGGATGTATGTGTGTAAGATATACATACATACACACACACACTCAAATGTGTATATTTATACGGGGGCGAGTGAGAGAGACCTAGACATCATAGAGTATAAGGCAATGCAAATCAGTTGTAATTCTTAGCAAATGGCTACCATCAAAGAATCCAACTTTTAAAATCTCATATTTCAGATTTGTAGGTAGGTAGGTAGGCAGAAAATTATGTTTGCATTAATTTGTAAATCTCTTTTTTTTTCCTTTTCTGAAGACAATGTTCAAAACATCAACTTTCCCATCTAGTAAATATTTTCACTATAATTTAAAGAAATAAATGCACTGAGGGAGAGAAGAAATTTGAATCCGTTACCATCAAATGCAAGATAGCCTTGATACACTAATTTAAATATTTTATATGACTATTGCACTTTTGCCTGGAACCATTCTTCGTAACTTATTGAGCATGATATAGAATGAATGGAATATTTATACCTTCATAGTGACAGGCCTGAACATTACGTAAGAAGTTACTAAAATAACTTGCTAAACAGAGCAGGAAGATTCTTAGTAAGCTCTATTGAATCAGAATAGAGTTGGAAGGGACCTTGGCATTTTTCTAGTCCAACACCCTGCTCAAGCAGGAGACCCTACATCATTTCAGATAGATGGCTTTCCTGTCTGTTCTTAGAAACCTCCAGTGATGAAGTACCCACAACTTCTGAAGGCAAGCTGTTCCACTGGTTAATTGTCCTCACTGTTAGGAAATATTTTCTTACTTCCAAATTGCTTCTCTTCTTGATTAGTTTCCATCCATAATTTCCTATCTTACTTTCTGGTGGTTTGGAAAATAAGTTGATCCCCTCTTCTTTTGGCAGCTGCTCAAGTACTGGAATACTGCTATCATGTCATCCGTAGTCCTTTTTTCTAGACTGGCCATACCCAATTCCTGCAACCATTCATACGTTTTTGTCTCCAGACCTTTAATCATCTTAGTTGCTCTTCTTTGCACTTTTCCCAAAGTCTCAAGATCTTTTTTGTAATGTGGTGACCAAAATTGGATGTAGTATTCCAGGTGTGATCTTACTAAGGATTTATGTTTCAGGTGATTTTGATTCTATGTCTCTGTTTATACAACCAAGGATTGTATTACCTTTTTTGGCTGCTGCCACACACTGCTGGCTCTTTTTTAAGTGATCATCCACTAGGACTCCCTCTCATTGTTACTGTTTTTGAGCCTGGTTTTGCCTATTAGTATTTGTACCTTTGTTTTTTCCTGCCTAATTGTAAAACCTTGTTTTTCTCTATATTAAATTTCATATTGATGAATAGGGCCCATTATTCATCAATAAGTCTTTTTGGATCCTGAGATTGTCTTCTGGAGTGTTGGCTATTCGTGTCAACCTAGTGTCATCTGCAAATTTGATGAATTCCCCTTCTATTCCTTCATCTAAGATTTATGAAGGTATTGAAGCACACTGAGCATCAGATGGAACCTTGTAGCACCCCACTGCTTACTTCCCTCCATGTAAATCATGCACTATCATTGTTGAATATGGTTTGTCAGCCAGTTACAAATCCATCTAGTTGTAATGCTGTCTATTTTTCTGGTTTACCAAGAAGTAGCTTATGGTCTACTTTGTCGAATGCCTTGCTAAATTCTAGGTATACTATATCCACAGCACTTCACTGGTCTACTAATTCTACTGGTCTACTAAGAGCCAAGGTGACACAGTGGTTAAATGCAGCACTGCAGGCTACTTCAGCTGACTGCAGTTCTGCAGTTCGGCTGTTCAAATCTCACCGGCTCAGGGTTGACTCAGCCTTCCATCCTTCCGAGGTGGGTAAAATGAGGACCCGGATTCAGTGTACTGAATAAATAAAATAAGTGGACTGGAG